TAAAATTTGTCCTGTCAGTGAATGAACATTTAGAATCTTAGAACCTATTCTTAATTAGGTATTTTCTCTCAAACGAAATTACAGATCTTTTCTAACCTTGCTTTAGATTTACTTTTATATCAGCTGAGTATCTGCCAGGTTGTTTTGTTTATTGCAAAAGGTATTACTGGTGGACAAAAGCAGGAGAGAATGTACTGAATTCTTGTAATAATTTTTATCTTAGTAATATAATTACTGTCAATTTCTTCTTTATTTCATAGACTCATATAGTATTTTCTATGTTCAAAAGGACTCTCATAAATTTCCCTCTTTAACCTTTTATTAGAAACTTTAGATTGTTGTGCTGTGTTATTGAAGAATCAAGCAGTGAAAAGAGATGAAAAAGTAGTGATTCTGAAACTTCAGTGAGCTGCTGCTCCTTTCCAGACCCTGCCAGCCTTAAGGCTCAGTACCAGCTTTGTGGGGCCCAAGCAATTCTTATGGGCTCGTGGGCAGGAGCTCCTGATGTTCACAGCAGCTCTGGCTTTGTCTTGTAACCTGACAGATAATGCAGTGCCTGAGTGAAAAAACATTTCTCCGTTTAGAAGTGAGGAGCTTTCTGACAGTTGTACATATACAGAGCACCTTGCTCAGCTCTCATTTTACATACTATTTCTTTACCTATCGGTGAAAGCTTTATTTATTATTTAAATGAACAAACTCCGGGGTACAAATAAAAAAAATAAACATCTTATTTGTTTTAATTTGCAAAAAGAGCCTGGTGAGCTGCTTCACTCTTGCAAAAAAAAAAAAAAAAAAAAAGAAAAAAAATCATATTGTAACATTGCAGCTACCTATTTTCTGATTAAAGACGTTAATTCAAAAAAGCAGTTCAGTTGCTCTTTAAGCTGCCATGGTGTTAAAACAATTATTTAAAGAACAGTCAATCTTCTCCATATCACATATTCACCGTTGCTTTGATTCCAAGAAAATTTCTTGTTTGGTTTTAAGAGTTAATGGTTTTCTGGTAACTCTTGGTTAAATATGAATGCAGACATAGTAATGCTTATTCCTTAACATCTAAGCAATACAAATATCAAATGCATTATTCCTGCTGAAAACTCACTGTCATGTCACAATCTAGGTAAAAAATTTTAAACCTCAAATACGACTTTCTGCCTGTAGGATAATGAATATAATGTTTTTTGATATATTTTTCCAATTATGTTGTAGACAAGAACATCCTCTTACTGTTCTTCATTTCTTCAGTTGTGTATCTTACCTAACCAGGATGGACCCTCATTTTTCAGGTCTCCAGAACCTCCCAAATCTGCCAAAAGTTTGTGTCTGCCCCTTTCAGGTTCAGATGAGTTGTTGCCTCTCCGTTCCTCCCTGTGAGGCAGTGGCACCAACACTGGGGACCACATCCAAACATTGGTGCAGCTTGAAAATGCAGCACAGTGGCATTTATGAAGGTTCATCCTGCTGGCCAGCACTTCTTTCAGTCACTCTGTATTCAATAAGGAGCCTCTGTGGGATTGCATAGATAAGGCTTCCCTCTCTTGGGGATGATGGCAGGACCAGAGCAGAGATGATGCCTGTGTGGCATACAGCAGTTAACAGCAGGCCCACACAGTAAAAGCTGCAGCTATCAAGTGCTTTATGAATGCTTTGTCCAGGTGCTTTCTGCAAAGGTTTCACAATCTCATCCTCTACTCACTCAAGTCAGTTGCACCAGCTGGCAAGTAGGAGTTCCTCCACTTGTCAGAAAAGGGGTTATTTAGCCATTTTCTCTGAGTAAATATAAAACATATCAGACTAGCTGAATACACACACCTCTGCCCTCATCCATTCTTCATGAAGTTGTAAGGGACTGTTTGTCTAAAATAGTGCTGATGTGTGATATTAAAAAATGATTTAGACATATGAAAGAAAACCACTTGATACTCCTCATGGCCTGCAAAGCTCCTGCTCAAAGGTTGATTTCATGATTAATTTATGCCAGCATTATCCTTATTTTAGTGATACTAGAAGTGAAATCCTGGCCACAGCCATCAGGTAAATGAATTCAATACATAGTGCACAAATCTTTTTGAATGGTCGCTATTTTAGGCATAGGCTGACAGCAGCAGGGAACAGAAGAACCTGTATTTATTTCTTTTTTCTCCAAACATGTATGTTGCCATAGGTCAGTTGTGAAGTGATAGAGTCTGTATCGGGCAACCCTTTAAAATCATTCAGTTCTTAGGGCCACTGACTTCTTACACACACCCCTGTTTCACCTTTACTGCCAGCAATTTGCTCTGGTATAGCTCCCCTGTTAGGTACCAGAGAAGGCTTTTGTTCTTCTCTTTGTATGTGTTTTTAGTCTAATGAGAGAGAGATGCATTGTTTACAGGCCCTAGATATGAACCACTGACATACACAAAGGCAGCATGAAAATCCAGTAAGAGGCAGACTGATTTTCAGTAATCAAATAGTTTAAGCACTTTCCAATCATAAGCCTAAGGAAGGCAAGACTCTACAAAAGAAAAGTCTTTGGAAATAAGTCTAAATAGGCAATAGAATTTCTAAAATTCTGAGTTTCAGAAGTATTTGCATGACACAAAAAGGACAATGTTTGATCTTAACAATAGACCTTGTTTTTACATTATGATAGAGCTACTAAAAAATTAGGAATACATGGTTACAAAAGGCCTCTATAAAACTGACTGCTCAAGTCTTTCCCACATAAGTTATGGCCTAGCTAAGAGAAAAATAAATGAAAAATAAATCATGAACATAATGCACATTTTTACCCAGAGTGCAAAATGTACATTAGTGCATCTGATTTCCAAATGTCTCAGGTAACAATGTTCTAGTGCAGCAGAATATACAGGTAAAATCAATGTGACACACATTGGCACTCCCCATCTCAGCCAAACAGACATTATATGTCCTTAGAGGTGTCTAAATTAGCAGCATGGTAGTAATTTTTGGTTACATTTAAGTATTTCTAGCCTTTCAGTAAGCCTGTTCAAGCTCAATTCCTTGAACTTCTGCTTATATCTGATATTCAGAGTGTTCCTGCTGTCTGTCTTGTTGCAATCCTGTTTATAGAACTGTACATTACAGAGAGATTAGGAACTAAAAACAGCAGGCCAAATTGAGTATTAATAAATGCAAATAAATGCTCACTGGGGAAAAGCCAATTCTCCTATATATACACACTGATAGATATTAAATTATTCAGTAACCTTCAGAATAGCTCTGTGGACAGTTCTGTGGAATGTCAGCTCAGCATTCAGTGGTACTTCAAAAAACAAATTAGGAATATGATGACAAAAATCAAAGCATAATTATGACAACATGTACATTTCTGGTGTGTCTGCACTTTGACCACTGCTTGCAGCGGAACTAGAAAATACAGAGAAAAGCAGTAACAATGAGCACAGATGAGAAGTGCCTTTTGTACAATATGGTATTAGGCTATGGCTTTTCCTCTGGGAAAACAGGCAGTACTTGGAAAACGTGCTAGAGGTCTGTAAATTCTTGAGTGCTACAGGGAAGACAAATAGGAAAGAGTTGTTCATCTCTTCTCACAATTAAACAGGCAGAAGGTGTTAACTGAAGTTGTTGGGCAGCTGGTTTAGGAGATCACAAAATTAATTGATTTTTCCTACATATTAAGTTGTGGAATTCATTGATATTCAGCATGGTAAATCCTAAGAGTTTAGATGAAAAAAAAAAAAAAAAAAAAAGGAAAGCCACTAAGACTATTAAGTACATTGATAGAAACGCTGATGTTAAAAAATAATCATCAGGAAGGTACGGTGGGAAAAAAGCACAGTCCAGCCACGTTGTCCTTCCCTGCCTCCTGCAAGGATCCACTGCCAGCACAGCTGGAGAAGACCCTGTGAGGCACAGCCCTTCAGCACTGCACTGCCCTCTGAGCACAGACTCACCTCTCCATGGGGAGTTGCCACTTTGGGAGAGATTCATGCTCCCTGCAGGATTTCAGGAGCATCTTAACTGACACTTCATAGATGAAAAAAAAAAGAGCTGAGCTTTCACTACTACTTTATGGGGGCAGCATGAGAGCACTTTTCCTAGCATTGCTGAAAAGGTCATGCTCGTATTCCAGGTCTTACGTGCAATTCATTTTTAAGATCAAAGCCACAAAATCCTTGCCCAGCTTAGACAGGTGCACAGCCACCCAGGAGCAGCGGCCATGTGCTCTGGAATTGTCCCCTGCAGCCATCAGGTGACTGACCAGAGCAAACTCACAAAATGCCACCACAAAAGGTGCAGGTGATGGCTGAAGCTCTGCTCTTCTGCAAGGCCAGAGCCCTGGTTAGGCAGTCTCTGACTCCTGCACTTCATTCTTTCCATATAAAGCCCCTGGCTTGCTCAGACCTTAACCACCAGGGAGAACTGCAGAAACTGCAGCTGCAGACTGGAGGATCTTCTGGGTGGAATAATTCAGTGACTGGAAGACTTTAATGCATATTGCATGAGTGAATCAGCTGATCCTTTTAATTCAAGCCTCTTATTTTCTTAAACCCTCCTCTTCCATGCTGGCTATCTAAAGAGGAAAGAAGTTTATGATTACAGGAGTGTCAGCCATGGGACAGTTTCACCCTGCAAACTCCAAATGGAAGTTGTGTTGGCAGGATCAGTGCTGTGACTAATGTTATCACTGTACAAACCGTCTGCTTTGTGAAGAGTTAGATTTTTCTTTATCCTTTATAAAATGTCAAATTGAAGATGTCTAATACATGTAAATAATGCAAACTGAAAACTAAATTATCAACACTTTAAAGCAGCATTAATCTCACAGAACATGTTTGGCATCTTTATGTCCTATGTTGCCATTGGGCAACTAGAAAGATCTATCAAAATAACACTAAAGTACTAGTCCTTGAAAACTACGTGACATAATTCTACAAGTACAAGAAATTACTCAAGAAAGAGAATCTAAGGAGCATGCTAAAATACCAAAATACTTCTAAAAAATAATAGGATACAGACTGATGGCAAACTTTCCTTATTCAACTTTTTATTAAAATTGAGCTATTTTTACATATTTAAAATACTTTATATCAAAATTACACAATATTTATGAAAACATTTGTATGCAAATGGATAAAAATACGTAAAATCAGAGCTAAGCAATATAAAGCAATATATAGCGTGTTTCAAAATGTATTTCAGGACTAGAATACCTGAGTGTACAATAAGCTGGTTTCCTGCATTTCACTGATTTTAACAGTAAAATTTAATAATGTATCTGATCTCATATAAAGCACTTTGGTTGGGAGGAATTGCATGGAAAAGGCAGAGATCAAGCAGAGATATTACTCAAGGCCTGTCCTCAGAATCTTCGTCCACACGAAGATCCACTGTTTGAGATGCTAGGAAGGACTCCCACGTAGCAAGGCACTTAAAAAAACCAAACACATACATATGAGTACAGCAGAGAGATTTCTGTAAACTGTTAGTCAAGGAGAAAAAGAATTTAAAAAATAGCAGAATGCATACACAGTGTCACAAGCTCCTTTTGTAGGACCATGGTAAGAACAAAATACGGTTTCCTAGGCAGCTCAGTGATATGCAAAATGTTAGCTAACATGCTGAGTGAGCTGTAAAGGTCAATTTTACATAATAACAGGCACACACTAGGAGCACTGTAATTGTATGTTGTAGCATAGAAGATGCTAACATTAATTATGCTCTTCTTTAATCTCTTCCTTTAGTTACAGGCAAAGATCTCTTCCAAATAGAAAGCACATTGTCAGCCACTGCTCCCTTGTAATCTCTGTGGATTCCTAATGTATACCCAATTTTCCTTCCAAGTTAAATTAAACCATTTTTTTTTCTAAATAAGGAAAGAATTCATTTTTCCCCAGAGTAATGGGAAAGAAATAGAACCAGAAAGGCAGACGCTGGGAGTAGGGAAATTGTTATCCTTACAAGTGGTATTTCTCGGTTTATGGAAAAATGTATTTACAATTGTAAAAAATATTTTTTTTATTATAAGCATTGATTCTGCAGGCAGTAAAACGAAAAAAACAGAAAACAAACAAAACCCCCAAATTACTTTGGTTCAATTTGGCTTAAATGAGTGTTGGCAGCTTGGTAAGCCATTCTAAATCATAAATTAGTGTCGAGAGCCATGGCAAGGCTGTCACAAGGTAACCTGTAGTGAGTTGATGCTTGTTACCCAAAGCACCACATTTCTACTATTTCAAGTCTGTCAGTAGAACAGGACACGCAAATTGCTGCAGTAATTTCCTTGTTCTGATGCTATTGAAAAAAAGCTGTTGTAATGGAAATGTTCTTACAAAATTTTGACTTATACATTCATACCTATTGTTCTAGACAATGCAGCTGATTTACTACTTCCTCTACACCGTTTTTTTCATTAAGAATCTTTATTATGCATCATAAGTAAGTCTTCTGAAATTTCCCAGGAAATATATATTAAAACCTGGACAGCACACTCCATTTACCGGAACTTTGAATTAAATCAGTGCCCTGAAAACAGTGTTATTTCCTAACTGAAATATTTTGCCATAAACTATTCAAACCACAGCAACTTGCTAAGCCCAGCTCCATCTGCCATTGCTTAGGAGACATGAAAATGACCCTGCTTAAACTTGCAGCACCTAACTCCGTTGGACATTTCTTGTGAATGACTTCCAAACTCTGCCATTAAACATGGAGATTTAATCACACTACACTGAAGAGCTAGGTCCTGGTATAACTGTCTGTGTGTAAGCAGATGAGTGGGAGGAGCTGATAATGTTAAATATAAGCTCAAAGAGAAAAACAAAGAATACACACAGGATGACTGGATCTGGGGGAATCTATGATTATTCAAGGATTCAGAACCAGGGATACCCATAAAATAAAGGATGACAAAAGTAACAAGAAAAAGAAAAACACAAATCAGCAGTAGCTTTGTCTCTGAAGACATAAGCAAGTACAACATGTGGGTCTGCAAGAACATGAGAGCAGTTAAAACAGCCATCTGAACTAACAAAGAAAAAGAATGGGCTTATTTTTGCCCAGATTTTTGGCTATTACCAGGCATGATAGAGATAATTCCTATTATTCACATTTTGTCCCCTAGACTATGGATACCATGAATTCAGTGCCCCAGTCTTTCTCTTTGGATCTTGCTGACAAAAGCCCCAAGTAACTTCTGCTGCTATTGCACACAACATTATGCTACTGTTCAGAGTATATCTAAGATTTGAATTACTGTGGAAAGAGGGAACTAACAGGGCAAGATTCCTGTGGAAATCTGCTTTCTTCATTGACTTTTTGGGGAAATGTTATTTTGAAATGGTACACCAGGGAGAAACAGTCAAGATACTGCCAGCCTGAAGAGCGATCTGCAAAACTGAAATCTGATTTCTCATTTAAAAGGTCTTTTTGACCTTTTGTATAAAGCCTTTAAGTTTGATCATTTTCTCCCCTATTTCATGTGACACTGTGGCAGCTGAGTCTATCTGAGAGGCTTGAGCTGGAACTTAGGCCTCTTGGTTTTGAAATGTCAGTGAGGCAGCTGCTAGCAATGTGTCTTCACTGTGGCACTCAAACGCATCAATTTCTATTTGTTAGAGCCCAGCCTGGATCCCCATCCTAGAAAGCTGAAGGCACAGCTGTTTTTCTAAGCTTTTTCTAGGTGTGGTACAAGAAAACGTCGCTTTTTCTTGAAGAGTCTTTCACTGGCAATTACAGAGGTTTTTCTGAACCACAGTTTAATTGAACTAACATGTAAGTCCATGTTTTGTGATTCCATAATTTCAGTAACGTTAATTAGAACACATGTATCAGCACTGGCTGCAATGTGAAAATGGCTTTATGTTATCTTTGCAACACTGAGCCAAGCTGATGTTAAAATGCAGTCATAATACACTGCTTAACCAGATAGATATGACTGAAGTCTCTCCAGACAAAGATGCAAAGCATTTTTTTCACACAAGTTATTTAGCTTTTAATTTATCCCTGTTGATATAACCAAACATGTTTTTCAAAATGTAAGAGCAATGGTGGCTCATTTCACTGTCAGACATCACAGTGCTGCTGCAGCTGACAAATTTTATAATTAACCACACCAAAACAAAACTAGGTCCCTGTGCCTTAGGCTCAAGCTTTTCACATTGTGAAGCATGAACTGCATAAATGACATTTTGTTAGTGATGTATACTTCAACATTATTACCGAATGACTTTACTCCGTTCTCCTGGGAGGTTGAAACTGGAGATCAAAATAGAGGATCAGCCAGTTTTCACAAAGGAGACAGAGAGGAAAAAAAACCCCAGAAAATCCAAACTGAGGAAATTAAATGTGTTTGCACAGGATTGAAATTCATAATCCAATTACTCGTAAAAGCCCAATGGAAAACATAAAAAAGCCTAAATACACAAAATGAAATAGACAAGAACTTAATAAGGCTACTTTACCTAAAATATTCTGATTACTACTGGAGGACACATATCTATTCTGCAACATCATTCTTAGAAAAAGCAGCAAAAAGTTTTTCCTGTAGTACAATTACATATATAATGAAAAAGGAGGTATAAAAATAGAACATGTAGTAAGGATGCTAGCAGAAGCAGTGTGTCACATGCCATGTGTGTTTCTGTTCCAGTTCCCAATTATCCATGGCTGATACCTTAAAAACAGCATATATGAAGTCTTGTTTGTGTCTCAGAGAAACAGAAAGTATTTTCATGATTTCTGTGGGCAGAGGAACAAAAACTAGACCGCACAGAAATAGTAATTTCCACTCCAGAAAACATCTTCCCAACATTATTAAAAAACAATTTAAAGGCTGAAGTGAATGAGGGTTCAAAGATGGCTCTGCCTTTGAAGCAACCTGCCCGGGAACAAATGGGCTCACACAGGGGAGCTTTTGAAAATCTTGTGAAGTTTGGTAGCTGAACTCCCAGGCATGGCTAAGGTAGGATGTGATCACCACACAAGAGCAGCCACCTTTCTGCTACATGACCAAATGACTGCTTAAATGCATCACTACAGAGGCCTCTAGGGCAAAGAACAAATCTCATCTATTTTTCTACAGCTTTTACAAGACTGAGGGGTAAATAAGGGCTTTGGAGTTATAGGGAAGTTGCTGTAATGGGGAACAAGTATTGCTTTGCCCTAATGAATCTTTTGGATCAATTTATGCCTGTACAACAATGTAGGTCACAGAAATATACTAAATTGTGCTTGAAACACTTAAGAAAATCAGGAATTTATTTATATTTTTGAAAAATAGTAAGGTGTGCCAGTACCAACAAGAATCTGACTATATCAAAGGTAAATGATTATCTGATTAAGATGCAAGGGTTTAAGAGGATTAATTTCCCATGTGATAAATCAAATCAAATGCTATGCTTTAAAAGAAAGCTTCATCCATGCTCTAGAAAAACCACATTATTTCAATGCCAAAACTAACTATCATCCCATTTTAGGAAAAAACACCAATTTGTCTGAATTTCCTGGAGTACCCAACAAGCAGTGGAAACCCAAACTCTGGTATATTTGCTGGATTTACAATGTATAACTAGTCTTTGGGCAGGGCTGTAAAACCTAGCCCCTTATTCTGGTGGCTTTCCTGAAAAGAATAGGTTGTTACCAAAATTCATTGGCTGCATATGTACTTCCTATACTAAACCCCTGAGAAAAAATTAAAAATTTAGCATATGTTTAATTGCTTCTGTTCTTTGAAGCCAGAGTTCAACAGTGCCTGGTTTGGTTCTGCTAGTCTGCAGCAGCAACACTTCAAACCTGCCAGCTAAGAAACACTGCCAGCACCACCAGCAACTCTGTATCCTGCTTTTGATTTAGTGATGCTGCATCTTTAGAATATCTATTTCTAAATTAATTAAAATATTCATGGTGACACTCAGTTTCTCAGATGAAAGCTCCACCCTGTGGACAGTTTGTGATTCCAGCTGTTTGGCAGATACCTCTTCTGGACTAAGCTGTTAGACAATGGTGTCATGCCTAAGGCTAGATGAAAAGGAATAAAATAAATGGTACAGTATTAACATGTGCTGGATCAATGCTATTTACTTCAGAAATATGAGGTAATTTATAATTTTTTAAAAATTAATACCATTTAATATTGTTCATATTGTTTCATATTTTAGAAATGCATTTACTGTCATTGTTAGTACAATATTATTTTGGATTTAAGACTTTAAGGGTCTATTCAACTTTTTTTCCAGAGGAAAGGAAGTACAGAACTGTATGAACCACTAGAGACCAGCTACAGGAATACCAAATCATTGGTCTGTCATGGTAATTATTGGTTCCCAGATGATTTAAAATATATTATAACAAAGCTTGCACACTATCACTTGAAAGCTTTCATTTTCACAGGCCTGCAAAGGAGCACCTGTAAATCTGCAACGATGGGCTTTTATTCATGTTTTTGTTACCACAGCATTGAGAAACACAAAACAGCTGTAGAAACAAAGGAACACTTCTTATTCAGGTTTAATAAATGCAGATAGCTAGTGAACTGGAAGACTACAGGAATAACTTGAAATTTTCAATCCGGAGAATCATAATGGCAGGTAACACTTTAGAGTAACATTTAATTAATGTGAACATTAATTCAGCTTAAGGAAGAGATACTCCTTTATGCTAGCTAAGTGATGCTTGACAAGTTGACAGCAGAATCCTTAGGCAACTACAATTAAGGTAAAACCCAAACAAACATAAGGTCATATTCTTTGCCCATTGTGACAAAAATGAAATGTGGAAATTCTAGTGTACTTTGACATGCTGCTGTGTTGTTTTTGACCACACTGGATTGGGTTTTATACAGTTTTGAAAGGCTGCATTCTCTACTGCAGCAGCCATCAGAAAATACAAGATGCCTGTCTCTCAGTACTTTGTGGTTCCCAAAATTTAAGGGCTGCAGAGAATGACTGTGAACAGAAATGACTCCTTATTTGGTTGTGTGCCTGCAAAATGCAGTCAGCAAGAGGAATAATGAGAAGTGCAATGCTGCTGTAGAGAAGGGAATGGGACACTGCTCATGGAGAGGCACCAATAGTTTAACTGAGGGGTGGGGGAAGTTGTGGAAAGGATGAGAAGCAGGTAGTCACTAAGCTAGAAAGCAGGAGATGATTCCTCATAGGAGCTGGACAGAAGAATTGGATGACTGAATCACATTCATAGCATCAATTGTGCCTGGGAAAATACACAGAACATGCTTTGGGGAAGAGAAAAGGCAGGAAATAACATGAAGAATGTTACAGCAAGAAAAGGCTTAGTAAGCATCAAATGGTGCATCAAAAGTCTGAATGAGTAACTTCAGACATGTGAAAGAATGCTAATGAAGCAAGTAATAATTGAACAAGTGAGAAACACTGTAACAGACACTGTGTTTGTGCATGAGTTTCATGAGTCAGACTCAAACATTTAAGGTTGGATTAACTTTCCTACTGAAAGCATAAAAATAATATTCTGCTTCTCAGGCTTCTGAGATTCCTTTCCTGAAGTTTCACTCCTAAACAGTAGGAGCAGATGCCCGAGCTTCTTTTCCTGCTACTTTCTGGAGAACACACTTGTAGTTTGAGATACACAGGCCTCTGACAGTAATCAGTAATCACTTCTCTAATAATTAACCATCACCATTAACCACAGGTCTTAAATAAATGAATTTTAGGTGAAAACTCCCAATCAAAATATTAACTTTATCAAGTTCTTTGGAATATCTGAATTAGATAATGATTTTCTGATAAAACAGAAAGAAATTAGTAAGTGCTCACTTTGCAAACAAGGAGTCTATACTTAGCACAATGTTGCTTATTATTTCAACTGCTATAGTAAGATAAGGTGCTTTTTAAAAAATGTAGATCCACAAAGATATAACAACAAAACCATTTAATGAAGATTTCAATATGCAAGAAAAGCACCAACAAAAGATTGTGCCTCAGTATAAACCAACTTGTCTGGTATTTCAGAGGCTATTTAAGAAGAACCTCTGGCAGTTACAGAGACAGCTGAATAATTTTCTACAGTTGTGGCTTAAGAACAGTAATTTCATGTACAATATGTGCTTTGGTACTCTGGATTAAACTTCTAATTCAGCTAAAAGCATTTCTAGACAGGAAAAAGAACCAAAAATTATTTTTATGTTGTAGCTAATCATTCACAAAGAAAATATTCTAATATATTCAGCATAGTTGTAACATACATATTGCTGCTATAGAAGTCACAGACCATCAATAAATGAAGACAATGTTAGAGGATGCCAAAAGCTTGCTGCCTGATTTCTGAAAATATTTTGATCTTAATATGTAACAACAGATTGTCAATGTCCATGCATCTCACAGACTGCATGTTAATTAATTAGACTTGATGATCAAGAGCTCTGTCTTTTCAATTATGTTTTAACAAAATGATTTGTAAAATCAGAGCACTACCATTGGCTAATGTACAATCCATAAAAGGCTCAGACTACAGGGCTGAAGTTACATATACCAAAATATATCTGTGAAAATGACTAATTCATGATTAATAGATGGCTCACTGCACTCTTGTTTTTTTCCCAAAAGTAAGGAGAAATTATTTTTAAAAACTTCCAAGACATCTGGGATATTTCCAAAATGCACATTTCAATCAACATTGAATTTCCCATGAGGAAACTTCACAGTTAATGTATTTTGTTTTCAAATTGTCCTTCCTAGCATATATTCTTGGAAATTTTTACCAAGAATATTACCTATGGCATTTGAGCTGAAAATAAAAATATGATGGAATCACATTTAAAGGTTTTCCTCATACAGGTCTGAGCCTTCTAGAGGGCTTCTTCATACTCTCAAAGCAAAATGTTTCCAAACTGAAATATAGCAGATGACATTGAACCGAAAATCATGTTCCAAGTTGTTGTGGTTAGTAAAACAAGAGTGCCCTCTGTCGATGATGAACTCGGGATCAATGACATGGGCACAATAAAATATATTCTGCTTGAAATCTGCCAAATTAGGGATAAATGCCCCACTATTCCCACAGAAACTGATTCCAAAGTTACCAAATGTTTGAACTAAAATGGAAAAATTCCTCTTTACAGAGAACCCATGGACTTCTTCACTGAAATAATGAAAAAAGAACATTTTTGTGAGAAAGAGTTTTACCTCTTCATAATAGCGGAGATTATTCTCAGCCACATTCATGAATGTTGATCTCATATCCCACTGCATGTTCTGCTTCCACCTGTCCCAATCCGCTTTCAGAGCATTATTGGCACGTTCAACTTTGTCTTCAAGTTTCCCAATCTCTTCTGAGAGCTAAACATCAACATTAAACATTAAAAAATATTAGGAGAATCACCATTTCCAAAATTATTAATTGACTGTAGTGGAGACAAAGAGAACTGCAGAACCAAGGCTGGTATTTAACTTAGCAAAAAAAGTATTTCCCTAGGGATAAATTTGAAATTAATTCTTAATTAATAACTCACTACAATTTCTGAAATATTAATAACAGAAAATAAAGACCAGAATAAAAGTGCTCCTGGAGATATATTTTTTCACTTAGAGAAGTTACAGACTCTGGCACCTCTTCACTAGCACTTGACACTAATGCATCAAAAAAGAGACATATAGAGGGCTTTACTGAAGCAGAATCAATTGTACAAATTAGTTTTGGCGAGGAAAACTGAGAAAATCCCATCAGAATCTTTGATAACAGGATGGGGAGAAGACAGCAGAAATCAAAAGCACAAACTTTCTGATTTCTTGCCTGTCACATTACCATCTTTTCTTGTGGAACTGTGTGTGATCAGATGAGGGAAAAAGAAATACAGAAGTAGAGAAAGAAATTATATGAAAGGAGTTTCCTCTACAGAGAAGAAACTCACAGCAATCCAGGGCCCAAAACTTTGAGGGCTACTCTACAGACATTACTTGCTTCTAATTGCTGTGAATGCCCAAGCTGACTTGCCAGCTAATGGCAGTAAGTGGACAGTGGCCCTGTCTTTAATGAGTTTTTTCTGGTCTTCTCATTAATTCGGTTACCTACTGTCATTTACTCATCAGCTGTGTCTGTTCTGGCTGGCACCAGGTCACAGAACGAGGTAGATCTGTGGCTACAGTGCAAAATCATGTGCTGGGACTGCAGAGCCACTGTCTGCAGCAGGAGGGAAGGCAGGCACAAACACCACCCAAACAAGAACATCAGGCAGGAAAACTTAATTCCTTGAACTGCTTCCATTGCAACTCGGCCTCCATACATTTCTTCTTCATCCTTATATTCTGCCATAAAGCAAACAGTTTCTTCCTTATACCACACCTGTGTAAAGTTAGATAGCTACTTTTGTTTTCTGCAGAGCTGGTGTTTTCATTGATAGGAAGTTCAGTATTCCAGGACTAACTTCCAGGATTTTTAAGGAAAGCTCATGCTCCTGGTAGAACACAGAAACATCAGCACTCAGAGCAAGACATGGAAAGTCTGGGTGCACAGCCTCCAGCTTGGACCGTGCAGGGGAGAACAGTGATCGAGTGCAACAGCAGTGATGCTGCCATCAAATGGAACCTGGATCCCATTCTCTTAAAGAAGCCAAGGCCTCCTTAGCGAGCAAAACTGAACATTTCATCTGAATCTATGTAATCCACAGTCAATAACACACATTTTTAGTTAGATTTGATTTCCACACTGATTTTCTTTGCCACACTTCTAGGTTTATGACATACTGGTTATTAATGAGGAACAAAACGAAAAAAAAAAATTATTTCTACTTTACTGAAAAGCCCAAGTTCAGTTATCTGGCCAAACCACTAATCAAGCTACAGACAAGGGTAATTTCAACTATTAACATTGCATTTAAAATGAAAAGGCTAATCCAAAGTTTAAATGTGGGGGAATTACCTTGAAAGGAATTACAGACAACTGGATTTGCTATTTTGACCATATTCCATGCTAATTGCCTTTCCTTCAAATACCAAAAAATGAATATGCACAGAATACTAAAAATGATGATATTTTAAAGATGATTTAGAGTAGGAAAGGCAGTTGAATCCATTCTCTGCTTTTGCAAAAAAAAAAAGTTCCTATGTAGGAATACACTAATCTACACACATAAAGAACTTTTCTGACTTAGAAGTCCTGGCTGCAACAGCTTCCCCTTACCTCGTTCTTTACAACTTTATAACTTTAAATTATTTTAAGTTTGTTTTTGTCTAGCCTTTTCTAGGAACTGCAAATTTCTTCCAAACTGTAGTCAGAACATGATATGGACAGGCAGACTCTGTTATACAACTCTGCCTGGATATGCAGTTTAAACATCCCACTCTAAAACCCCAAAGAAACCATATGTTGTATTAAGGCAGGGACTTGGACTTAGGTCTAAAGGCAGCCATATGCCACATGTCAGCATGTCAAGTAGACATGTTCAAGGACTAGTTTTTCAAAACTGAAAAAACCCATCAATGCTACTCTCTTGAGCTGCCATGACAGCAGAAATTAAAGAAGAATGGCTTGGACTTAACAAAAACGAGGTGTTTTTGTTAAGTCCAAGTCGAAACACACCTCCTGTGTTCCTCATTTACAAGGTGTAAATTGTTACAATTGATCCTGCAAATTAACCAGGATTCTGAATCCATTTTCTTACATTGATCTCACAAAGGCAGCCAGTGTGAGAAATGAAATCTCCCAGCAGTGATGGCCAGAGTCCAGCACAGCGCTAATCAGACACGGGACCAGAGCACAGGAAGGTGGGAGCCAGGCTTTGCTAGGGCAGAGTGCTGATAGACATGGACCATGTCACTGTAGCCAGAGACATGGCCTAAGAGCCAAATTACATGGTGACACAGCATTTTACACCATCTCACTATGCAAAAGAGCACAGATTTCTATCTTCTATGTGAATTAATCCTACAGCTTGGTGATACTAACTCCTTTTTAGCCTGGAGTTAAAACACAAAATATATTCAGAATGTAATAGATTCAGCATTTCATCTCATTACTTCTCAGTTTCAAGTCTGAAAACTAGAATCCTTAAGTTGGCATTTAATGCTTATCTTGCTCTGTCAGAGCACATTATTACCAACATTTTTTCAGAATTATTATCAGCCCTAGTGGCAAGACTAAAACTGAAAAATGCCCGAACTATAGAGGGATACACTAGCATTGCTGTATAACCTTCAGGATGGAGTGTGAGAATCATGGAGCAGCATATCCCACTGTCTTTACAGCCACAGCTCTGGAGGTGAGAAATGTCTAGACAAGCAGGAGGGTACAAAAACTAGGCCCAATCTCTGTCAGAGCCTGCATCCAAAATAACAGTCTTCAAACCATCCATACCCTGAATAACTGTTTCCTTTGTGGACCAAATTTTGGAGTAGAAACCAAGGTTTTGGCTTTTGTAACAGCACCACAAGCAGCTTTCTAACACAGCTCAAGAAAACATTTTTTTCCCAGCTGATAAGTCTAATGTCCCAAAAGGTTTAATTTGCAATTCCAGCCTATTTCATCTGTACTGACCTTAGGGATGTTTTACATTCTTCTGCTGTACAACCCTGTGTTTGTTAAATAATTTAATGTTTGCCACAACCAATACTAAATATCTCACAGCCTTTTATCAGCTCTAATGACAGTCTGAGACGCCTTATCTGTGGTGGAAATGTACTTCAAATGAGATTAGGGTTCATGCCACTCATTGTCAGCAAAATTTCTGGCTACTAGATTGCACTGACAAGTTCAATCTGACATCTATGAGATCATTAGAAGCTACAGAAGTTCTGCTTAGGAATAGATAAGTGCAAATACACCCGAACTTGGTGTCTGAGACCAATTCCAACAACATACCTGTGTAATGACAACCTTTATTAAGATATAAGTCTGGTTAGAAGTGTTAGAAAAATATTTCAACAGATGATAAAATTGAAAACACAGTAAGAAAATTACCAATGAAATGAATGGTTAAAAATAGCAGTACACCATTCTCTGTTGCCAAACTATCCTTACTAGAAAAACGCTTCAGCTTCTAATTAAGAAAAAGTCTTCAGGATACAGCTGCCACTCAATTAGAGAACACAGGATTTTATTATCAGATTAGACTAACAGACATCTGTTTTACTGCTCTTCTGAGACTGCAAGGAGAACCAGGCTCTCAAAACCAGGATTTTCTGAAATTACTAAGAAATAGAGGGGTTGGCAATATAAAGCAAAGATCTGAAAACCTGGATAATCAGAGTGTCCAAAGCCTTTACCAAACCATAAATGCAGATATGGAATCGTATCAGTGAATTTTCATCAGTAAAAAAAATAAGTCTGGGCAAACTCATTTCAAAATCCTACCGGAAGCAAGTACAAACATCTCATGTTGGAGTAAACCATTGTCAGTATCAAATCAACATGGTATGATCAATATTATGCTAAAATAAATATATCCCCTTTTTATTTCTAGCAGCTCAGGAGAAGGCAGTGCATGCATGTTGTCTGAGAGCTCCATCACATTATAACAGGAAATGCATCCTGAAAAGATAGCACGTCCTGCCAGGCTATGGTGTCTTTTCTGCAGTAAACAACAACAAGTCTGGCTGCTAAACAAGCTGTTTGGAGCTGAATTCATCACTGAATGCACCTGCCATGGCTACCCAACTCCCAGCCTAGGGGGCTTTTCCAACTCACCATCCTCTGTGCATTTTATAAGAGCTTCAGGCAATAAAGAAAACAAACATACAAAAACTAACCAAACAAAAAACCAAAAAGCGAAACAAAAACAAATTACAGAACACAAAATTTCTGCTTCAGAAAAAAAAAACCAAAACCAGAGATATTTACTTAATGTCCCACTGCAGTAGACAGAGGCAAATTGTTATATAATATACCATAGCCATTGCAGACATTGGAGTTCAGCAATATATTCTTACTTAGTTATCTCAGTGCCAAAAAAATCAAATGAAAATATGCATTTCAAGTGCCAAAAACTATTTATCTGATCTTTAAAAACTATTTATCTCATCTTTACATGGAAACTAATTAGAACAAGCCAAATAAAAAATATCTGAAGTTAAAGATTTTCTTTTTTGATGTACTAAAAAGTTACTAGTCATTTTTACATATTATTTACACTCTATAACACTTGGTGTTAATACAGTGCTAAAAGGACATTATTTAGGCTGGAGAATTGAACAATCAAAAATTTTAAAAATGCCAGTTCTCATCCCAGAGGTTGTTTTTAATTGGCTGCTGAGCCTTGCTGGTGGTTTCAGGGATGCCTGTCCCCATGGGGTACCAGTTACAGTCTGGCTTCACTAGCATGAATGAAGGTTTCATACTGGAAGCAAAAAAAAGTATCCCTGGGCCCAACTAGAAAAAACAGAAACCTGTAAGAACAGAATGCAGAACATTTTACTTTAAGTAAGTTTAATGAACAGCTTTGCTGATTCTAATCACCTCCTCTACCTCTCCTACATCAATGAAGCAGCAGCAACAAGAGCATTGCAGCAACTGTTACTTTCCTTAACTCCAAGTGTGGAAGCAAACAGAAAAGCTAAAAATAAGCCAATGGAACAGTTTCTGTTGACAAAGGCCAGTGGCTGCCCATGACCAGCAGCCCAGCTACTGAAGTGCTGCTTCTTTCTGGTGATGGCCTTTGCCTGGCACAAAGACCTGCCGGAGTGGGGACAGCAGCCAGGCCCTGCCCGTGGCCTCAGGGGACGCGCGTCCTCCTCTGCGGCTGGGACAGCACGGCCTGCAGGAGTCCAGCTTCCTGAAAATACTCACCACATCCTTCTCTGGCTTCTTACTGCCTAAAGCATCAACTTTGGAATCCAGCTCGCCTTGAATTTGGTCTCTCCTTTTCAAAACACCCTTAGTATGGAAAGAAAGAAAAAAAAAAAAAAAGAAAAAAGAAGTAAACTGCACCAAATTTTAACTCTTTCAGAAAAACATCAAAGAAATTTGCTTTTGGATAAACAAGACCACAGAATGATACCTTTTAATAATTTTTACATTATAGATGTTTTATAGAAAAAATCAAAATGAACTTATTTTTGTATACCTGTATTTTATCTTACAGGTTTTTCAATAATCTTACTAAATCCAAAATCAGTGCTACAAGAATCTGCCATACACAATATCACTGCCAGTTGTACAGCAGAACTGCTACAGGAGTTTACTTGATATCAGTTTAACTTATAATATATTCATTTAAAAATAGCAACCTGAGTTTGCCAAATCTCCTGAACAGAAATACCTTCTTTGAGTAAAATTTACAATATAAAGTAGAATGATTAGAAATAGTATACAAAGCATTATTGAAATTGTGACTTTAACCTTTAATATTATTTTATAAGTGCCAAATATAGCTCTGGTAAATCAGAAAAAATATCAGAAAAATCAGATAAAGTTACCATAGGAATGTAAGCTTTTCTACCATTAATATGGTTTATTTTCAGCATATGCAATTTTTACCTCCTTTGAAACTATCTTATTAAGTATTGGATCTTTAGCATAATGTCAAAAAAATATTAGAAAGGGGAAGCAAGATCACTCATTAAGCTACAAAACAGGAACAGTATTACAGATTAAATTTCCATTTCCAATGCTCATTTGCTCTGAGATCTTGATGAAGCCTTACAAATGTCTCTTTGTCTTAGCTTCCTCATCTGTAAAAGCACACTCAGGTATGCTTATCTTGCAGAAGTGTTTAGTCTTTTTGAAAAAAATCTGAACCAGGACATATATAATTACAAATCTCAAAACCTTCTTTTACATTACCTTTCCATAACTGGTTTTACTGCTTCTTCTGCAGAGATGTTCAGTATTCACCTCTAGCCTAGGGCATGTTGGAACAGCACAGAGCACGAGCAGCTCTACCTGCTCTAGCTCTCTTATTTGACTGAGCTCTCTGAAATCTTGACACTTTTTCAAACATGATAGAATAATTCAAGAGCTTAATTTTCAAGTAATTTTTCAATGTTTCTTTTTTAACAGGTAATCCCTATAAAAACCTGGTAAATCTGACTTTGGGCTTTTCTGAGCAATAGATCAGCAATATGGATGAATGCTTATGAATACCTTGGAATCTTTTGGTTAGATAAATACAGAAAATGTTTACCTGGAACCACAAAAGCAAAAAAAAAAAAAAAAAAAAAAAAGTCTGTAACAGCTTTTCTTCATAATACAAATGTTTTCTCTTTTTTTTCTTTCTCTTTTGCTTCTTTTAAAACTTTTAATGACAGCTTGGCAACATTTATCACACATACACTTTAAATTACAAGACAAAACCAATTAATATTAAGGTGCTACATTGACAAGTACTGACTTCTAATTACAAACAAAGGCACCATACTTTTAAAACAGATTGTTATACAGGTTTTTTGTATAATACTTAAAGGTACCTTGCCACAAAATCCACAGATAATTTTATGTGGACCCGTAACTAATTAATGCTGTAATTTGTACCCTGAGGGAAAGCAGATTTGTTCTGTGGATCCATTAGGAAGGGTTTGGTCCAGATGTAAATATTTTAGTTATGAATCTAACTATTTTCCTAGTTACAGGCTGAACTTTCAACACTGGAAAATACAAGGATTGTATTGTATTGATCACATCTTGTTCTGCACACTTGCTTGTGATCTTGGCAGCACTGGACCAAGGTCCCTGTGATGAGGGGTTAAACACACCTCTGAAAGGCTTACCAGTGGCTGACTTTCACAGGTATTTTTAGGTATTTTATTTTAGTGACTAGTATTTCCCTCTTCAAAGTGCAAGGATGGAAATAAGCAGTTAGTAAAACAAAAATCCATGGTGAATGAAGGGAAAGGAACAGTTGTGGAACAGGAATGAGCTACTGAAGGAAGACTTCTCCCCTGGACAGGACCTCATGGCTGCCTAATACTGTGTTGCAAATGCTGAATCAAATAAGCTACAAGCAGGAAAAAAATGCAGTGGGCAACAGTGAGGTGTGCAGGAAGAGCCAGGTAATCATCCTGGGGTTATCCTCAGAAATCTTTCTGTGCTCTGCATGAAACAGAACACCGTGGAAAGGGTGAAGGTGAGTCAGGCTGCAAAACAAAGGCAATGGGTGGGCAGCATCTCCTCAGTAGCATGAAGACTACAATTGCTTATGGGTAACACAGAAATTCTGAAACATAAGGTTGAAAGTGGGGGAGAAGATGACCTGCAATTGTTAGGATAGTAATCTCTTCAGATCTTTAAGCAAAGCAGTACCTGCCTCCATCTACCAGAAAATAATGAGGACTGTAAGATACAGGACATTTTGTATGGCCACTTTTTCTGTGAAGCTTGTTTTAAAGACAGCATCATTGCAGCAGCAATTCCTAACTCTCAGTAGCTAAGCCTTGAGAAAGTGGCAATACCCTGCAGAGTGCCAAAGTCTCAGGTCACTTGGGTCTCACTCTACCATGGACTGTAAGACTCTTGCAGCCCCTACCCAGAAACCACTGCAGCAGGAGCTGAGTTCCCAGCAGTAACACAAGAACAGATTCTGCAGCTGGCACTGCTCAAAACCTAGACAAAGAGGGGTTTGTACACATGTTCTGCTTTCTGTAGGCAGCAAAGTGGGAATTATGACATACTGAATTCAGTTACTTTATTATGTTGATTATCCACCAGCACTGACTGTATCAACTCTGGAGTCTGATTTTTTACTTCCTCTCCAAATGTAAGCAAAATACATACATAAAGGGAACTGAGAGCAGTATCTTATGGCAAAGACTAACACATGCTTATATAATGGTGCAGGGACTGGAAGTTCCCAGCTGTTCTGGAAAAAGAAAACATACTTAGGAAGAACTCCTAGAAAGGGAAAAACCTCTCCACTCCTTTTCCCACACACAATCTGTTACTCAATGAGTTCATATTTCGGTAGTGTCAGGGAAGGTCTTTCTCAACTGCTGTTCCCAAACCCTGATTGCTACAATGCAGAGCTCACTGAAGATGGCAAAACTAGACACCCTAGCACAGCTACCCACGGCTGCCTGCTAGGCAAAACTATCAAGCTCCTCTTATTTGTAAGGGGCACCTCTTGCCTGATAAGCAGAGAAACAGGACCAATTGGATTCCTCACTAATGGACACGTATCATATGCTGTGCATATACTGAGTAAATACGAAGTCACTTTCAACAGCAACAAATTCTCTCCTGGACATGGTCACTGGACTAAGCCAAATTTTATACTGAGTCATAAAGAGTCCTTCAGGAAAGCTTACCATGAGAATTTCACTGTAGAGAACGTATTCATGCAGAATGGGCAGCAGGTGCTCTGAGAGCCCTGCCATTCTCCTCTCCGTGGCCCTGCAGCAGCGCTCGATGCAGCCGGCAAGGCCCTTCAGAGCATCGGCGATGTCTTCTTCCGACGCCGACCACAGCGTGTGGATGGGGCCGTACTCCTTCATTTCACTGAAATAGTCTTAGAAGGAACATATACACGCATTACTCTTCATTAATAGAGCTCTAAGTGATACTAATTGCAACTTGGTATTTACTGTGAACCAAGCAAGAGACTGATGCTAATTTTAAATTTCCTCAAACGACCAAGATAAGTAAACTCCAGTTCACTGTTTATCATTAAACTAATCAATTAATTTATTGTAATTAAGTAGCTTTGAGAAATCTATCAGCAAAAGTGCCCCAGACATTTCACAACGACACACATACTCAGGAAGACCTGAAGAGCTGTATTCAGACACGAATGACTTGCATTACCTCACTCTTGTCTTCATACAGAGCTACAGGAGCCACAGCAGCTGGTCTGACTTGCTGACTTCTACTGCCCTGAATTCCTCTGATTTTGTATTCCTCTTCCTCTGCTTCTTTACCAAATAGTAATGTTCCAAATACAGTCTCTGTTATTAAAACTAGAAGCTTTGTTATGTCCCAAAAGCTTCAGAAAAAACAAAGTTCACTCCTGCTCAGCAGGTATCTCCTTCGGTAGTTTTTATTAATTTAAATACAGAGATACCTTATTAATTACTTCTCTTATGTTTCTGGACCAAGTGATAATCCATAAACAGAAAAGGCCCACAAATCACTGTGCCATTTGGTAGGGCTAAACATGGGCAAGCTGCAGCTTAGAGGAGACTGTGAACACCTTGGTCATGCATTGAAAATGAAATTTTGTCACTACTAAATTTATAATGAAGAAATGTCCCAAGAAAGATGAAAGCAGTTGTGTGGCATAAAGAGTGTAATTTTACTTTGAGATTATTTGGACAAAGAAAAGCCCTCTATGTAAGACATAATCAAGAACTCTGTGTTAAGGTACTGCAAGCAGGAATGTTCTCTGTATCAAAGCTATCAACAATTCCTACTCACAGCAGTGTGGCCCTGCACAAAGTGTTCTGACAAGTGCTGTTGGGACAATCTAGAAAGAAAATATAACCTACAACATTTGGGAGCATGTCAAAATTCTTAAGCTTTTCCAATAAATATTTTGGCACTGCTACCTTGAACTTACAGACCTTAGACAGCTACATTCACTGGAGGGAACAATATCAATAGGAACTCTTTTCATCAAAAAACCTTTCTTTTATAACACCCTTTCAATTCAGTGAGGACACACTGAGATCTGGTACTGCACAAGAAAGGTCAAGGACTCAGTTATTAACACAGTGCAGCTCTTCAAATTATATTATATACTATAGACAAGTAAATACTTCAAGTGCTGCCCAGTGGAAATTCTACTGAACAGGCACAGTCTGAGATCAGGATCATCTCAGAATCTCAGGAAAGTCAGTAACTTAGTATTCCAACTAGGTGTGTGAACTGCTCTTACTTAAGAAAAAAATTCCGATTAATCCATCCTTCTTGAGAAAACTCTAGTAGGCACAGCTTACCATGACAAAAATTATGGCAAACACTAAAGCTATTAAAAAAATAAAATCTACTTTGTCAATTAAAAAAAGGTTCAGAACAAAACTAAACAAAATTTAGAGACCCGGAATCAAGACAGCCTCATGTCACTATCAGATTGCACAGAAAACTGTATATTCCCTTGAAAGTTAAAAACCAAAGGTCAGGCAGCCTTCCAAAGACCACATGTTAAAACATTCTTCTAAGTTCCTTATAAGTAGCTGAATGACATGCTAAAACTCTTCCTAAGAAAAAATAATTCCAATTTGAAGGTCTGTCAAAAACATGATCAGAAAGAGTAACACAATATAAACATCTCCCTTTTTCCTAGAAAGAGTATTTTGCCTGCCACAATGAAAACTAATTTACTTTTTAATTTCTTAAATCAGTAAAACTGATAAAAGTTTTCTACTTACCCCTTTCTTCCTTGTAAATTCTATGAGCTATTTTATCTAGTAAGTTTATTTTCTGACTAAATGTTTCCAGGTAATTGTTCATTTCTGTAAACATTTCAGGACGATTTTTAACTGCTCCTCTTACTGAGGATGCTACAGCTCTGACGGTCTGTCCCATCCTGCTCAGCAAACCAGGACCCTGCTTCTTGTGGGAGGAGAGTTCCTAAAGACAGAACAAGCTCTCTTTACTTACAGGTACTTTTGTTAATTCTCTGAAAACAATAAATAAAAGCAAGCTTTTTTTTTTAACAAAATTACATACATAAACCTCTGTCTTTGTAGTGTATAAATCTCATCATTATTAGACCAGTGTCAGAATCATCCCTGTCCTGTGCATGTATTAGCTAAGCCTTTCTGAGCAAACACAGGCATGGCATGGATGGCAGTGTCGCAAGAATGGTTGAAGATGGCAGAGAACCTTCACCCCTTCGCTCCTCAGGGTGAGTTAGCTAGTTTGCAATTTAGCTTTTTGAACAGGAAGGCAGAGGTGATGATTGCAGGAATGAGTCTTTGAGAAAAGCAGACAATGCTCCTACTGGAGAAAGTAATCCATCTATTTTTTTAAAACTCTTTTTATATGTTGCTAGAATAATCTTTGCTGAAATTCAGAGGCAGGCTTTTCTGAGTACAGAACTCCAGTTTGCAACTGGACACATTTTGCAACAATGCAACAGGAAAATCTTGGATTTTTCTTTTATGAGATTAGTAAAATTAAAAAAAAAAAAAAAAAAAAGACACTGCCATGCCAAAACAGTAATTAATTAATACCACTGTTTTACTCACAATCTTAGAAATTTATATGTTTATCAAAAAACATGCAGAGTTGCAATACTATAAATTTGCCACAAAAATCCAAAATGCAGTAACAAAAACAACTTTGGAAGGTACAGCAATACTTATGGTCATGTGCATGATTACCAAAACCACAGAAGGAAAGGTTATCTCAGATTATGAATATTCCACAAATCCCTGCCTGCTTCTGCCACTTCTTTAGCAAGCCATGGGATCACACTACTGAATATTGAACCAGGGAGGCTCCTGATACACCCTACTTTACACAACATGTGGTTTCACGTAACTGTAAATAAAAACACAGTCATTTTACCCAGGCTTGTGCAGTAAGAAAAATTTTGAAGTCCTCATTAAAAGATAAAGTTGGATGGTCAGCAATACGGTTCAAGAATTTATGTAAAGCTTTTCTTCGAGTCTCAATGAATTCATCACTAAATCTTTCCACCATTCCCCTTATTATGAATTTTTCAGGCAACGGCTAGGGAAAAAAAGAAGAAATATATTGTTTAATTTGCATAAAATTCAGAGTATTATAATAGTTCTTCTGCTTACTAAAAAACATAGGTATACCTCGTAAAATCCACCCTGCAATGACCCAAAAGTTATATAAAGTTATTGTATTCAACTAAGGTATACAATTTTTCTTGTACTATACAGTGCAGAAGAACACAAGCACAACTAAGAATGGACATAAATTACTGCAAATTACTGCTAATGCCACAGTTAAAAACCTAAGGAATACCTTTATGTGATTTTTGTCACATATATATAAAGCTAAGAAAAATAGGTTGGCTTAGTATTTATGAAACTTCAGAAGCTGAAGAAAGACCTCAAACATCTCTGTATTAAACTGGAGCCATCTTATAAATAAAGAAAAAGAACTTAAGTGTTAACAAACAAACAGGAATAATCAGCGTTGGATGTGCTTCTTCAAGTTTGCTCTTCAACCAAATGAAATCTTGGTATCGTCTTCGAACTTCATATTCACTGGAGTCAAATTCACCTCGGGTTGTCTGAAAACCAAAAGCAGAAAAAACAGTCTTAGGTTAGCATACCAGAAAAAAATGTTTAAGATTTTGGAGAAAACTGAGTACTTGAGGGAATGCATATATTCTATTTGGTCTCTGTTACCGGTTTGCTGTTATTTTAAAGAACAGTGATCAACTCCTTGAAGAGTTAACACATCCTCTTTCAGCAAGAAGTCAAAGTTCTATTGGGGAAAAAAAAAGAAAGTGAGCACTAAGCTGCACTTTGTGCAGTGACATATAATGATTATCTTAGCACAATGTTTCCAAATTATTGCAATAATTACTTTGGTGTGGCATTTTTCTTTCAGCAATCACAGTTATGTCTGTTACTTTAAGGACACTTCTCTTGAAGGGATTAGTAGTGAAGAAAGTCCATTTTTTAGCACTTTAAACAAAGCCCAAAGAGCTGACACACGTCCTTGGGACCTGGTGACATTACTCAATAATCTTCACATTCAAAACATGAAAACTTCAGCATATCACAGCAGTAACACTTCCTGCACTGCTTAATGGATTCTGCAGCCTATCACTGATTCCAGTTTTGCAGCCCCCTGTTATAACTTGCCAACAAACCTTTAATGCCTACAAAAAATACTTATTACAGATTACAAAATTGTCATACCCTGAGATTATTTTACCACTGCTCTGTCTTCTGGAGGCAAGCCACAAAGAGCCCATGTTTTCATTAATGTGTGCTATTTAGCATTCTTTGTTGCACAGAGATTTATAACACAATGCAAGTAAATTCTAAAAACCTCAAAACATGCTTTTATAATCCAAACATTTTTGAGGGTTGAATAAAAATTTTTCAAGGTATGTGGGAGGAATGCTATTACTTTATCATCAACCACCAGCACTCTAAATTAAGTTTGATAAGAAAGGATAGAAGAGATAAAAAAAGCAAGACCAATCCAACTTACAGCCCTTTCATACTTGCCTGAAGAAAAAATGTTCTTTCGTCTACAGAAACAGGCATGAAGAGAAAATTACTGCTAGCAACATAACAAAGATAGCTCTCTTCATACTCATTAAATATTTTATGAGGAATTGATATCTCTTCTTATTTAAAGATGAATAATTCCCATTTGAAAATATGCTTTTAAATGAATCTTTTAAAAAGACCTCAAAGTCAAATAAATTAACAGTGCAATTCTCAAAATGGAGCCTGCAGAATATTTACTGGTAATCTCAGAAGACCTGGCTGGTATCACATGGCTGACTTTCTTCCTTATTTCCTGTAAATAACTTGCATTCAGGACAACTAAAAATATACTTAGTTGTTTCCTAATACTACTTTTTCATTAGAGAATTGTGACAGTTTCCCCAGAAATCACATGCAACTTTATATGGGAAGCAAACATCCCTGTATTAGTGGATGCTGCAATTAGAAAATAATGGAACTGAGATAATGTTTATGCAAGACACAGGACTGATAGCCTGTAAGTTATCCAAAAGTCATCAATACTTGTGCTAATACAGTGTCTTCAAAGTGGATCAGTCCTTTGGCTGTTTCCTGTTCCTGCTGAAGATCACAACAGAAAATGTTATTGCCTCACAGCACTCATTTTGCCATTGAAGAATTATTAACTACTTTCTCAACATAAAGAATCTAAGCACATGTGTATGCAGACTCACACTGAATTTTTTTCCATTATATAGCGCAGTTTCATGCAGTTTTAGTTGTTTATAACTCATGGCAAAATTAAAGTTTAAATTTAGCAATATGCCAGAGAATGATGCGCAAGAAGAGGGAAAATTCCAATTGTTAAAAAAGTAAGCCATTAAAGCATGAATAGATACTTACCTTTGTGACTACTCTGTATGTGATAAATGTTTCAATGGCTGTAATGTGGCTTTCAGGATCATCGACTGTAATGAAGAGATCTCTTAATTCTGGCCCATCTTCAAATTTATACTGGTTTATCATTGATGAGGGGGATATTGGCACTGAAGGACTGAATGAGTTTACCTCAGTCAGAGATGTATCCTACAGATAAGACATGAGGACATCCATATCAATAATCTTTGCATACAAACACGTCTCTGATGCTAAAATGGAAACCTTTAAACTAATCTGATAGAACAGATAAAACTTGGAGCAGATGAAAGAATTATGTAGTACCTAGCAAATCTATTATCCTTTTCAGTATTTGCTTTGGTGAGGATGTAAGAATGAGATTTATTCTAAAATGGATTAAAGAACAATTTGAGAAGAATGTTATGCATAACTAGAAAGAGAACTTGCCTATGAATAGTAAAATTAGTTATGAATGAAGCACCCATTAATTGTGTAGGGTACTTACCAGTTTTATTAAAATTGTTAGAAGTCAGTTACTGAGGACTTACGATGTTTGAAATATCTCTAATTACCTGAACAGGATGGATAAAAAAAAGATGATTCAAAAAACTAAGGTAATCCAAATCAGAATTTTTACTGGAATTGGATATTTCAGTTTGTATTTATTTTACAATAAAATTTGAAATTGAAAAAAATTAAAGGTACATAAATTAATCTTTTTTTTTTTTCTTAAGGAAAACAGCAAGTAAGGATGCAGTACAAATTTGCTGCTTAATTCCTAAAAAAAAAAAGTTAAACCACTGTTCTGCTGAAGTGAAAAACCTCTTTTTGATACCACTGACCACTTCCACAGAACTCAATAATACGTCCCCATAACAGCTGCTTCTGCTAGTACATTCAATGGTGCTCACTCAGCTGCTGAGAAATGAGGTGGAAATTAGAAATGGGCCAGAAATCTCATCTTCTTCCTTAGATACAAGTCTGGGTGCGATCTACTAATCTAGAACCTTGAAGGATACAGTTACTATGAAAATCAATTGAATTAACTAACTTCATAAAAGAGCTTAACAAATTAATAAATCATGAGAGGTAACAAAGAAATTGAAATAAATAATTGTATTTTAAGTATCAAATACTGCATACAGCTTTTTAAATATATGCAATACAAAGAATTATTTTCATAACAAACTTTAATCTATTTTCTAGAAGTTTTCTAAAAGTGTTGTTAGAATACACTGACTATGAGTGGCAAAGAGTTGCCCTCTGCAGTGCCTTGTTAACTATGGAGGAAGGAGAACAGGGATGTAGTTTAAGAGAAAACTGCTCAAATGCCAGGACTGGAATAGTGCGAGTCCACACTAACCAGGGTCACGGCATCATCCCAAGGCTGATCCCACAGGAATGAAGGGGGCCCCTCTTTAGTGCTGCTGAACTGTGTCAGAGTTGCTTTTTGTCTTTTGAATTCAACCAGATCAAAACTTTCTCTGGAAAGAAACACCTTGTTCTTTTTCTTTGGATTTATCAATGTACTCCCACAAATATGGAAGAGACATTTATACCAGGAATTATGCCCGGAAAGTGCTTATGTACTCATTCTCAACCCATCACTTACATGCAGTTCTTTGAACAGGGAGACAAAAGCAACACAGAAGACTGAAGACAACACTTTAAATATTACACAGTGGCTTCTTTGTATGACTGTCAGACATTTTACTTTTTCTCAGTGTGTTTCTACACAACTTCTATACAGCCAACACTATCCTGAGTGGTGCAGAATAAACAGAGCTGTTCCCAGAGCCTGCTAGCACTGGCTGCCCGTGGTCTAGATGAAGAATGAGGACTGCTAGCTCAGAGCAGCCCATGCAATTCAAAGTGCTGAGGCAATGGGAAGTTTCTAGGGAAAGAGAAATGCATGTGAGCATGTAAGGGACTTGAATGGCCTATAATTTGAGGAGTAATGACTCTGCAAAACCTAAATTGGATCAAGGTAAATGTGTTTCATATTTTCTCATTTTACATGGAGCATTAATGTCATAATGCTTCCTTCCTTCTAGGTTGCTACTAAAAATTGCTCTATTCATGCGAGTGTCTGAAAGTATATGTTTATGTGGAAAGGCTTATGAATATGTGCTTTGAGAAACAAAATATGGGCAATAAAAATCCACAGAATATGCAGGTCTTTGGTTTTGTTTAATACAGCTCTAGTATTCACGTGCACACAAACGAATACACGTGATTTTTAAAGAAGCTTCTATCTCTTTATCCTCATGATAGTTCAGGTTTACTTCCAGTAATTCTTGAAGTTCATGTGACCTAAGCCTGATGTCATCACAGAAGCACAGTTAAAAAAAAAAATGATAATTTTCTATACAGCTGTAATTTTGTGGTTGGAACTGTTTCTGTGTGCATAGAGATGAGGGCAAGAGTTTTGTAGCACAGGAGAAACAGACAGCTCTCAGGTTGTGTAGCCTTCTTCCTCCTCATCCATGCAAAGAACATCAAGGCCTTGTCCCAGAAAATTATGTCCTTTCCCACACCTCCCCTGCCCCCACTTACCTGCAGTACCCCTTCTCTTTCCAAGCCCCTTCCCTCAAGACAGAGCAGCTGGCAGAGCTGCGTGTGCCAGTCCACAAACAGGTTCATGCCTTTTGGTTTAGTGGCCAAGAGACCAAAGGAACGGAAAATCAATGAGCTCCTCGCAGCATGAGGGCTCTTTTCTGTGTCTCCTTTCTCTCATACTTGCACTTACCCTATCTCAGTCTCACATTTGACTGCAACTGGTCAGTAGCACTCCAAAATATGTAAGGGAAGAAAACACTCCTGCAGTCGGAGCAGCCTCAAAACAGGCTATGCACAGAGCTGAGACTGCAGCCCTTTGGAGAAGACACTAAGCCCGGGGTTTGTCTAAACAATGCTCCTTCCCAGAGAATGGGTCCTTGACCCAAGGTTACCTCTGTGCTCCATCCATCCATCCATCCATCCATCCATCCATCCATCCATCCATCCATCCATCCATCCATCCATCCATCCATCCATCCATCCATCCATCCCCATCCATCCATCCCAGCAATGATCCAGAGCTTGCAATAATCTCAAGCTAAGATCCAAAACCAGGTCTTGAGATAAAGGACATGGGGCAGAGTTTGTCTTACAAGTGAGTAGCTTGGTTGTTGGAGCATTCTTCAAAGAGCAAAGAGATTCAGGAAGACTGATTTATAAGTGCATTTTTTGGCCAAGGAACTATCTGCCTCAAATCCTTCATGAACTTGAAGAAAAATCTTGAAGAAAAATTAATTTCTATGGAATTCTGAAGTGGCATATACATGTTTTCCAGAAATATCATTAAGTTTTCAGTAATTCTGAAATACAGACAACCACTGTGAAACAGAGTTTGAAAGCAGAGAGGCTAAAGATTTTAAGTATTAACCAAACTGCTGACAGCTTTGTCAGTGCTACGTATCAGTTATCAAGGAACGCAAAAGATAACTGAATGGGTATTTGTGATACAGGCAGTACTCTATACTTTGAAGCTAAGGGAAGAAAGCAGGTTGAAAACATTCCATCTGTCTGACTCATAACTCAGCTCCCAGAATTTGTCTCTGCTGAAAAGAATTACAAACTTTTTCAGTGGCAGTGGAAACTAGGATAAAGTGAAACGCATCTCACATCATGAAATGCTCTATCAGAGCTGCTGAAGATGCTGGTCTCTAATATTTGAGATATGTCAGAGGATACCAGGTCAATGGTTTATAACACTATTCGGTTAAACGTCTATGGATTTTCATAAAATAAAAGCCCAGTGTTTACATTCTGAGTAATAACTCAGGGTATTGATGTTGACAATTCTTAAGAATCTCATTTTTCACCATTTTGTTAGCTGGCACATTCCGCTGCCTAGAGTGAGAAAGCTGAAGCTGATGAGAGTGGCAGGCAGCGAGCTCTGCGTGGCTGCTGCCATCCTGCTTGGCCTGCAAAGGCAACACCACTGCCTTACAGACACTGCATGAGGAACCCCATTAAGATGCAATTTAAAACAAGGCAGTCTTGGAACACTATGTTAAGGAAAAACTGGTTTTACAAAACTTAGTTGTAAGCTACATTTAGCCTGTCAGATTCCTTTGAATATACAGAAAATGAATAAACAGGGTGTAAAGCCCAACCAATGCCACAGATTTTCATCAGCTCAAAAGATCAGATCTCAAATTGCACTTGAAAACAAACCATGAACTTCTGGTTGATATATACAATCACTACATGCAGGTATCCAAGCTTTGGAAGGAAAGCTGTATTTTCAGATGACAAATTTTCTTGTTTGCAGGAATAACTCATCATGTAGCATGCATTAATGGTAGTTAAGATTTCATATATGTAAAAAATATTTGGCACGAATCCAGGTAGAAATTTAAAGATCTCAATATTTGTGTTAAAGCAGCAGTAACTTGTATCAACTCCACTTCTTTTTATTTTTCATTCCCAAGGAGAATCGCTCTTGATATGGAAGCAGCATAAGCATCAATACACTGTGTTGATAAGCAGATACCTTCATGCAGAACTGCCTGAACTTCACCCATAAGAGGAAATGGATGAAAAGTGAGCTTAAACAACTAAAATTATATTTTAGCACTGGTTTTGCATGCAAGTTCAGTGAATCATTCACTGGTGCTTTCTAGGAAAATAGAATTCAGCTCAACCCTCGTTATGCTTCAGAAAAATACAGGTAACTTAGTGAAATTTAGCCTAATCTCTTGCAAGTTACAGACTCATAAATCACCTAAGAGTCCCTTCTGGCCTTAAAAGCCATGAGTTTCAGGAATTCTATTACAGTTTAAATACATAGAAATACATACACAAATTCCATTACAGAGTTTAAATATATAGCTCCTAAGAAGGAAGTCCTTATTCCTAGTAGTACTCATTCATACCACAACAGTGTTTCTCACCTACAGAAATATAAAAACCACACATTTACTCCCTATGACAATCTGTCCCACTGAAGAGAAATACATTGTCACTTCTTCAAATGGGAAATGTAACTGCTATTTCTCTCCCATGGCACACATCCTGTCACAGCAGTTCACAAGTCTCAGATGGTGAACAGCACCCTAGCCCCATACACATTTTTCCACCCTAGCTCTCTGTATGCACTTACATTCTAGATGCTGCCTCGGTAAGGCAAACAGATCCATGACATGCCCTCTTCTTTAACTACTGAGGAGACAAGAGGTAAGTCTTGTCTTAACCTGTACTAAATCAGTGCTAAATGAGAAACAATATACGTGGAAGCCATACCTCCCTTCATTGGTTTAATTAAAACCAGCACTATCAGCCAGACGGGCACGCATGTACCTGGCTGTGTGCCCTCTGAAGGTGGACACTGATACATTGTCAGTTATGTTCATTTTATTCTCGTCATCAAAATTCAGATATTATCTTCTCAAATCTCCCAGGCGAAGGTGTGAGACTTCATCTTTTAAAAGAAAACTCAAACTGAAACTTGGAAACATTCACTTACACTCAAACACAACTGCAATTACTAAACACGGTTGTTTATTTAATAATTTACAGATACATATATGGCACCTGACGAACCTAAGTGATGATAAGGGTACAGCGAGTCCAGATTAGACGGCACATTTCAGGTAGGCACAGTCATGACTCGCACTGCTGGTCCGAAGCAGCGACTCCGCGTTTCGTGCCCGAGAAATCACCCGGGACGGCGGGCGCCGCCGAGCGCTGCCCCTGCCCGCCCCGCGGCCCCGGGCAGCCCGGCCCGCCGCGGAGCGCCGGCGGCACCGGGGAGCGCCCGGGCGAGGGGCGGGCGGGCAGAGGCCGCGATCGCCGCCCGGGGCGGAGCCGCCCCGTCCCGTCCCGTCCCGTCCCGTCCCGTCCCGTCCCGTCCCGTCCCGTCGCGCCACCCCGGCTCCCCCGGCGCCCGCTGGGGCAAAGTACCGGCGAGCTCGCCCGGCGCGGAGGGCGCTGCCGTACCTTGCTGAACACCTCCAGGTCGTCTTCCTCATCGTCCAGGGCCAGCACCTCGGCGGCGGCGAGCAGCGGCCCCTGGGCCGTGCCGAGGGCACCCGCGGCGAGACGCGAGTCGGCCCCGGGCCCTTCCCCGCCGGCGGGGAGCGCCAGTCCCGGTAGCCGGCTCTCGGTGTCCATCCCGTCCTGCGAGCGCGGGCGGCGGCCCCGGCGCAGCCGCTCCCCGCGGGACCGCAGTTGGTGGCTGCCCCGCCCGGCTCTGGCCGCGGCCGGCGCGGGGGGCGCGCCCAGTGCGCAGTAGTGGAAGCGGCGGCAGCAGGGCCGCGCTGCCGGGCAGGGCTGGGAGCAATCGGGGCCGGGAGGTGTTGAGCCTGCCGGCAGGCCCGGACAGCAGGGACTGCGGCTGCGGCCTCTGCGGAGGCGGGACGGGACGGCTCAACGCCCACAGGCGTGTTCGTGGCGGCGTGGGGGACGCCGCCCGGGCCGCCCCCGGGGCTGCCGGGGGACTGGGCGAGCCGCCCCCGGGGCAGCTGCTGGCCGCGGGCGCTGGCAAGTGTGCGCAGTGTCGGTCTGGAGAGCTCCGTGCGCTCCTGGGCACCCGCCCGCTCTGCCCTCAGCAGCCCCGGGCCCGGCAGGGGCGTACCCAGGCTTGCTTCCCTGCGCTCTCCGGGTTGGTCTTTCTTCCCTCCTGGCAGGCACTCAGGTGCCGCCACCGGGGCAGCGGGCAAAACCCACGCGTTGCTGCTTTGTCTCTTGCCTCTTGTGATGCTTCTCTTGAGCAGCTGCTATGTCGCTCGTAGCTGGACCCCTTCGCCGTGAGGTCAGGGCGTGTCTGATGCTGAGGCCAGGGACTCTTTGGTGTCAGAAATGTGCTTGTGAGGACAAAGTGACGGCACATTACATCAGGAAAGCAGCGGGGAGAGAGACACCGAACATTTAAAAGCAGCAGAGCTGTCCTTTTTTTAAAGTACAGCCATCGGAACTGTGGGATTTGGAAGTTGCCAGTACCGAGCTGGAAGCAATGGCCGGCGCTGTTGGTTGCAGGAGCCAGGGCCGAGCGGGGAGGCGGCGGGAGGGAAGGCAGCACTGCCCCGGCCGGGCCTTCAGCAATGCCCGTCCCTGACACCGACTCTGGGCCGGGCTCCTCAGCGGGACCGCGTTTGCTCGCTGGGGAACCGGGCACGTCTCTCCAGGCGCCGCCTGAAATAGCTGAAGTCAACTTTGTTGTTAATGTAAATTTCAGGAGTTGTGGGCGGGCTCTTAAACAGGCAGATACAACATTGTCTTTGTGTATCTTGATTCCCTTGCTGTTAAATTGGAAAAGGCAAGCCCCGTAATCAAACGAAAGTATTTTGAAAAGTATTCCTTCGTGAAACACTGCAGGCAGCTGATGAGGAAATATATTTGATATTTCACAGTTTTCGGCGAAGTCTTGAACCACAACTTGAAATAAAGGGATTAAAATAAAAAACACCAAACGTTCACTGAACTGTGCAAAGAGACAAAGACTACGTCTGCCTAATTAGAGAGTGTTTACCGAGACATTTTAATTTTTGTTTAAAAAATACTCTAAAGTTGACGAGGAGCCGGGGGCAGTGGCCCGCTGCACGCCCCCGGTGCCAGCAGCGTTTGCTGCAGGGGTCTCGCCCGGAGCCGCCGGCAGAGGGAGGTGGGATGCGCCTGTCCTGGAGCCCGGACACTCGCTGATGCCTGAGGACCTCTCAGTAAGTGCAAATAAACAGTTTCTGTAGTATTAAAATAACAGCTGAACCTAGTACGAGATGACCCTGTGCAGACTGTCCCTATCCTACTGCTCTTTGCTGTTCCTCAGCTCTGAGCCCCTGAGGAGCCCGGGGCTCCTTTGGTGTGCTGCCTTGCTCACAGGCAGCCCCGGGCCCTGGGCTGGGTGCCGCTCACCTCCAGGTGCTGCAAGGGCCGTGCTGGGGCTCCTCGTGGGGCGGGTGCTTCTCACCTGGGTCAAATCTCCAGCTCTGCCTACCTCTGTGTCTTTTACACCTCCTTTCCAGTGTCGTTGCTGCTCCTGTCCCCTCTGATTACCTTCAGGTACCAAAGACTGTTGAAAAGTGACTATTACAATATAAATTTTTTACTCTTGTCTTTTGTCCATCAGCAAAAAGTGTAGATAGTTTATTTTCTGATTTATCTATAGCTGATAGCATATAGTTTCAAGTGGCTTTGCCCTTATTTCCACATGTTCTGCTAGAGGCCTGCAGGTTTTCCAAATAGAATAAGTACTTACAACCTGTATAATGCCCAAGTTTTTAATATGTCTATTTAAATTCAGATGATATACTTGTGAGGCAATAACAAAATAAAACTCATCAAGGACCACAATTTCAGACAATGAACATCAGAGATGATAAATAAAGGACAGCCAGTCAAAGAAAGTATAAAATTTATGTACTGTAGACTTGAATGTTAAGGATGTTGCCTGAATCATACTAATTTTCCAAAGTTTTACTGTGCTCTTGGTTTTTTTTTATTTCTGTTTGAGAGAAATATTACAGGATGCTTTAATTGGATTTTTTTCTTATTATAGCTTTTTATTAACTCATTAATCAAGCTTAAGAAGACATATTTTTAGATTCCTTGCTTGTCGTGCTTATCTTTCTGTGCTTTATATTTGAAGTATCAATCTGTATGGAAAAGGTATTCATTGTCCTTCACTCTGGAAGAATATGCATTGCATTAAACAGCCATTTGGAAGTTTAATCATCAAAAGGACCTCTGCTAAAACAAAATAGGAGACTGTTCTGTGATCATTTTCAGCTGCCCTCCCCACCTCTCAACCCCAGTGGTCACTGATTTGTATTAAAAGGGCCAAGTAAGCAAATACATCTTCAGGGTACCTTCCCACCCATGCTGGGTCCCAGGATCTCTCCCCGGCATTGTTTTAGCAAAAAGAGCATTTTTCTGACTCAGGGACTTTGTGCTCATTTCCTGCTGTAGGATCAGAGATGACTTAAAATAGTTGAATAATTGTTCTATTCAAAGATATTGCAGATAATGTAAATACAGAGCTACACTTAGCAAAGGAGATTTGCGGGTGGCTCTTGTACTTTTATTTCAGAAGTGCATTGCTGTAGATCCTGGTTTTTCTTCATGTGTGTATATTCACGAGCTCCATGTTTCCTGGGCACCAGGGACTTACACATTTTACTGCAGATAACCTTCCCTGAACCTGTGGAATGAGATCTTGGTAATAATTAAGTCAATATATTAGATGTTGTAGCATGAATATTGTTGCCCCACTTATTTAAAGAAATAGGTATTGCACTGAAACAATACTTTTTGCTAAATAAATTTTAACATTTTGTAAAATACGTTTTTTTCTAAATTCCTATGCAATTTTCATTAAATACTCAATCTTCCCAGGCCCTCCTACTCATGAGCACTAAATGGAATATTCTCATATGCTGGGGTTGAACTGCAATCACCTCCAAATTTTATTTATTCACTTAAGCCCAAAAAGCTATTTTGTATTACAAAAACGTCAATATTATTCCTACTTGCGTGTTCTCTTTTTCTTTGGTAAGAGTGTTGATCTTAGCTAGTAATCCCTTCCAGAGTTGCTTTTCCTTGAACAAATTAAATTTACAAACACCGAAGCAGAACCAAGCTATTCCTTTGCTCTTATGTGCAGGCTGCATATGATCCCTTTAGGCCACAATACCACGTTGAATACTTAATGTTGACTTGTCAAGTTTCACCAACTGCACAGTGATATGGACAGGATTAAATCTTGTTTCATTTCACCATCTCCCTAGCCAGGCAGCAGCGGGGCATGGAGGGCTCATGGTGTTTTACTCTGTTCCAGCACTGCAGTGCAAATAAGCGTGTTAGTGAATCTGCTGACATTCTGCACCTTGACGCAAATGAGAACGTTTTTCTAGGTCTGAAATGGATTGTCAAGTAGCATTCTTGTCAGGGTTGTGTAGTGCATAAGCAGAAGTCATTATGTTTACACCCAGAAGATATTCTGATGGTGAATTAAGGGCTGACCTTCGTATCATACCATTTATTAGAGCAAGCTTTTTAGTAAGCTCCATTTAATGGCTTAGAATAAGGTTAACTATTTATGTTCCCTGCCTGAACTCACAAGGAAGTTAGAACATCAAAACTCTCTATATTGTGAGCTGCTTAGCTTTTCAGCTGACTCTTGTTTTGGGGTTGAAAGGTAATGTTAAGTTCTTGCATTATTTTTGTTGTTGTTAATTTAAATTTGGAAGATTTTTTTAATTGGAATATTGTAAAATGATTCATCTGTCAGATGGTGGATATCCTGCAAGCTTATTTTTTTCAGAGACTATTAGACTTTTTTCTTTCTGACTGCCCAAAGGAAATTACAATGTAGTGTACTTATAATCATGTTATCTCTTTTATAGCTGCAGATGATTTTTATGGCATTGCAGCTGTACAAACCCAGGATCGATATCTGGAGATGTGCTATCCTTTTAAGTTATGTTACTGCCAAATTTTAGACATGAAAAGATTCTAGGTGAAGCACTATTTGGTCTCATATATTTTACAATATCTAAAACCAGTTGTCAAGCTTCATTAGATATGAAAGCATCATTTTTTGGGGGGGTGAGGGGGTGTAATACTTTGCATTGTTGCGAAATAGAGTCTATCTGTTCTAATATAGCATTGTCTCTTCTGCTGAAAAAATTGTTTCCTGTTTTCAAATAAATGCTGCTGTCCTAGTTTTTTGAGGAAGTGTATATTTAGCAATCTGTACTGTATAGCATGAAATACTAGAGTATCTCCTAGTCAGAAAGTATGCAAAGATATTAATACATTAAATATGTATAAAGGCTTATTGAATTAATTTGATACAGGAGTTGGAGTTCTCTCTGGTTTTAATTTTTCTCATGCCTAGTTGGGAACTCTAGGTAAAGAGAAACAGATTAATACTGGACTTCAGTTGTTCTGTTTATCAATGACCAGGTGTAGTCCTGCTTGTTAAATAAATAAAAAAAAAATTACAATGGTTGATATGAATGTCATTTCTTTACAAGTGTCTGTTTATAATCCATTTAAATTAATCCATTTGAATTGTGTATTTCAGTTGGTACAGTGTAAGGGCTCTGAAAACACTTCGCAAACTGGTGACCATTTTTTGACCTTTAGGCACAGGTTTTGCCACCATTTCAAGGTTAATTAGCCTTTACAGAATTACTTTGTATGGATTTAGCAATCTTTATTGTTTACACATGCTTTCAGTGACCCTCAAAAGTTTTTAGTAGGTGAGCCTAAGTACATTTGTAGTAGATGAGAGTACTTAAACCAATACAGAAGAACATCATGGTTGAATTAACACTCCATATTCATGATGTTTTAATAGACTTATTTTTTAGATAGCAAATTTGCGTGCCTTTTGCCCTAGTTTA